GCGCGGCCGACGAAATGACGAACGCGAGTTTTGGCGGGAAATGCATGACAGATGAGTAATTATTATGTAACTAGCTGTCGCAAGCGATTCCGTCCGCGCGTAAAAAAAAACTTAATTAATAGCCTATATGTTCTATATCTATACAGCCGTTCTGGAGATATCTTACAAACATTCCTCCATCCATCCATACAGTCAAACATTCGCGTTTATAATATTGGTAAGATTTCTGTATACGACAATTTGTTTGTTGAAAGTTTTTATACATTTAAAATGAAAACTAACGTAAAATGCTAGTAATGTAGTTACTTTTATTCACAGATTAGCTGTCGCCCGCGATTCCGTCCGCGCGGAATAAAAAAAACCTGAATAGGCTATGTGTTCTTCCAGCCTATGTTCTACATATAGGTCAAATTTCATCAAGATCTGTTAAGCCGATCCAGAGATGCCTTCAAACTAAAGATAATTCTATTTATATTCATCATCATCAGCTCACTATACGTCTCCACCGAGGGGCTCGGAGCCTACCCTAAGTTACGGGTGACTAGGCCATAGTCAACCACGCTGGCCAAGTGCGGGTTGACTTCACACATATCTTTGAACTTCTCAGATATGTGCAGCATCACGATGTTTTCCTTCACCGTAAGAACGTCGGATAAATGTACATATGTAAATCAGAAATCGAAAACATTGGTACATATAATATTAGTAAGATTTAATTGAAGAGACGTGCTTATAGGAATTAACACCAGTTGCATACTTTAGAAGTAAAATATTTATTCAACTTAGTATATACGAGTAAGTTCTCCGTAAACGTATAAGTCGGATTCGTTTATTTCTATCCGATAGCTAAATGATCGCACGTCATTGCCATCTCTTAATGTGATCAATCTTATCGTCTGAGGGTAAGGAAGTAGAAAAGCGTGTTATCTCCCCCCTACAGTACACCCCCCATCTTCCAGGGTCGACGCTAACGATCAAGCTCTTAAGCGATCGTGCTGCAATCAATCGTTAGCTTTTAAGATATCTCATCCTTAATTAATCGGTGATGTTTGATTCGAATTGAGGGTGGAGATTAGAAATCAATGTTAAGTTTGTTTAAGGTTAGTTTTTTTATCAATTAGTTACTCAAGACGTATATATTAGACAAATACTAGCTGTCGCCCGCGACTCCTTCCGCGCGGTATTAAAAATAGATGTTGGTCGATTCTCAGACCTACTCAATATGCTCACAAAATTTCATGAGAATCGGTCAAGCCGTTTCGGAGGAGTATGGGAACGAAAATTGTGACACGAGAATTTTATATATAAGACTAGCGGACACGACAGACGTTGTCCTGTCTACACGTCTTTAATTTGAATATTATTTAAAATTTGACACTGCGACGGTAGCTCCGTCTGTCGGATCCAATGTAAAACATTCCAAAATCAACAACTACTAATAAATTAAAAATTAATTAAAAAAACATTGTCCAGCGGACAAAATTGTGAATGTAAACCATTCCCAGATCCCCTTGAACACACACAAAAAATTTCATCAAAATCGGTCCAGTCGTTTGAGAGAAGTTCAGTGACATACACACTCACAGAAGAATTATATATATTTTATAAAGATATGTAAGTCTCGAAGACTGAGTATTGGAATTTTCTTTCTTTTCAATAAACTCGGAGGAATTAGTCTTTATATTACTAATGTAGTATAAGATACTTTATGAATATCTTACAAATGGATGGATGTTTGTAAGAAGCTAACTCCAGAACGGCTGCATGAATCATGCTGAAAGGCATATATGTAGAACATAGTGTGGAAGAACACATAAACTACTAATTTATTTATATTTTTAATTCAGGACGGAGTCGCGGACATCAGCTATGTATATGCTTCTACGAGTTTTCTGACTGAATAGACGACTCGCGTCGACGACTCGCATCGACGACTCAAAGTTAAACAGAGTGCGCGCGATACTGGTAATACAAGGAGAGTACCATATGAGTTTCTCAGATTTACCTTGCTTTGTGTACGAAAGGCTTTGAACTGTTTAAAACACCTACAATATAAGACAGGAATAAAATTAATTAGTTGAAGAAAATATAAAAAAATCTTCATAAAAGAATTGACGAGTTGGCGAGACGTACGCCCGTCGGGATCGGTTGCCTAGCAACCATAGACCCCTCGACTACGAGTCTTACCTATTTGTAAGCAGTAAGGAATGGCAAAATTATTTTGCAAATATAATAATACTAGCTGTCGCCCGCGACTCCGTCCGTTTGGAATTCAAAATAAATAGTAGCGTATCTGTTCTTCCAGACTATGTTCTGTCTTGAGTTGTTCCGGAGATATATTTTAACAAACATCCATCCATCTAAACATTCACATTTATAATATTAGTAAGATTTTATTTAGAAACACTGCATTTAGGCAATTGTAGAAGTAGTAACCCACTAGTAGTTGTTAGTAATCCAGTGGTTCTACTACATTTAGGAAACAACATCGTAGTCTGACATGGTATAAGTACCAGGGTAACATAAGCATACAGCAAATGTTTCTAGCTTTATTTTTATTCCTTGCTACAGTCGTTTGCTGGCGATAAGTTACGTTTATTAGCCATTTCGTTGGGCGGCGATATCGCGTCGCTTTGAAGTAAAACTCGATACCGGCCCACAATAGCTGGGGAGCGGCCGGGCGGCGTTTGTAAGCGATTTGACGGCACAATAAAACGCCTAGAACAATGTCTGCGCGAACATTGTTGTCTGCGGACACGAAATTGATAATACAAAATGCTTATTCTTTTAGGAGTTCTGCTTTAAATATATACGATTTTATTAAATAATTTGATTAATAACATGTTTTGCGCTAAATTATGGACATCTCTAAATTATTATTTTTTATAATTACACGTTTCTTTAACTATGTTTATTTTCTATTTTTCAAAATCTTGTTTTTGTCTTCACGATGTTTATTAAGACTAACGAACAGCGCCATCTATATATTTAAAAGAAAACTGACGAATTTCGTGTTTTTAATTTCACTTTATTATAGATCGACGTAATCGTAAGACGTAGATTGATGTAAGCGTCGGTGGCTCAGTGGTCAAGCACTTGACTTGCAATCTGCAGGTCCTGGGTTCAAATCTCTATTCGTAAGATACCCTGCCTTTTGGGGGAAAGACAGGGTTATGTGAGATTCTTACTCACTAAAACCCCCTCGGTGGCCAACTTCAAGTGCGACTGCGAGGGCCCCGGGATCTCTAAAGGAACGCACCGGAACATGTACCAATGTGTTTTTCGATTTCTGATTTACACATGTACATTTATCTGACGTTCTGACGGTGAAGGAAAACATCGTGATGCAACCTGCACATATCTGAGAAGAAATTCAAAAGATATGTATGAAGTCAATCAACCCGCACTTGGCCAGCGTGGTTGACTATGGCCTAATCACCCTTAACTTAGGGTAGGCTCCGAGACCCTCGGTTGTGACGTATAGTGAGCTGATGATGATGACGATAGATTGACGACTAAATCTGTAGTCAATCGATGCAGTTAATAAAATTGGATTGTCTGGGTAACATAAAAAAATATATAGTATGAAAAATCAATATTAAATATGTCTGTCCGTCCGCAAGCCGACTTTCAGTGAACGGTAGCTGTGTGCGGGCATATTATAGGCATTTTTTTTTTAATTTCACGATGGAAAAGACGAAATATCGCTAATGAAACATATGCACATTGCACATTTATAAAATATTTATTTCCATCAATAACTTTAAAATTATTTATTATATTATGGCACATCGTACAACATTGTTATATATCTTTTAAAATTCACTATCAAATGTATTGTTACTATGTTGAGGTAATCGATTATCTAATCACATTTTATACGCACAATATTCACTACATAATAATGTTACATCTCGATTGTAAAGTTCGACAATTTGTAATCTGACTAGACGTAAAATAAAGTAAAAAAAATGAGAAAAATCATTGATAATTTAACGTTTTTTTTTTGTTTATAATCCAATTAGAATTTAAACGTAAATACAAGTAAGATGTCACTTAGAAACTTTGTTCGTCAGTTGCTAAAGTGTCCAATAACATATTTATTAGTAGAACGATTCTCAAAAATCTAGTCAGATTAAAAATTCACATATTCCACAATATATAAGCAACATCTATAAATAAATGGTATCACACTGAAAATAATTTCGTCAGACAATATTTGATTTTTCTATTTTGTATACATAGAACTTTTGAAACGAATTACAGTAAAAATATCGGTTAAAACAACATATTGGCTATTTGGACATTAACCACAAATCCTGGCTGAATGTAACAGCCTTAAAAAAAGGATAGTCAAAACAAGATAAACGAGAATCTTATATAAAGGAGTCATTATCGATTACGACGTACATAAGTGAGAAACTCGGGTAAGAGAAACCTCTATAAGGGAGATAGTTATCGCCATTCCCTATACTCTCGTTTAGCCAGGGAGTAGACAAAATGCATTCGCTCCAAAGCGATTCCATAACGAACTTCAAACGTGTTTATCTGACAATTACTTTCGATAAGTCACGTGATTGACTCGCGTCAGTTCCATACGATTTTGAACTTCCTTATAGAATTGCTACGGAGCAAATGCGCTTTGTCTAGCCATGAAGGTTCGACTGACTATACTGTCTATCGGTTACGACTGGATGTTAAATTTCGTAATAACCGGATTTATTTGGATTCTATGTTGTATTACGATGGGGATAGTTAGTTAATGTTTTTAAACATACTAAAATACTGAAAACATCTTAAATTTACACTTATAAGAGCAATCCTAAAGATTCTAAATATCAAAATTTGGGCAAAAATTTGGCAGTATTGTTGTTAAAAATAATAATATTTACTTTTGTGTCAACTAAAAAACTCGAAACTAAATTAAATTCTTGTAAAAACAAGCTTGAAAAATAACAATTTTTAAGCTATAATATATTAAGTACATTTATCTGCTATACATCCATTTAAATATAATAATCATGTCTTTATAAAATCAAACACAGCCAAAAAATAAAGAGATCTGTCTAACTCAAACTTATTCAAAAACTTACATCTACTCGATTAGTACCAGACATAATAGTTGGCACGTCAAGAAATAGAGTACTCTTAAGTGCGACGTGCCAACTTAAGTCGCACATATCAACTGGCATAAACCATCTATATTATTTTCATGTCATTTGTACTGTTTGGTTTGTTGTGGCAATTGGCAGATATCTAAAACATATTTTATATGTATATATCAATAGACTAAGACTCATTTTCCATCGCTACTAGCAGAAGTATTCTTCCAACTCCCGACAACTATTTTCTATGAGCAATTTATGTGTCATTTCCACTAGCAAAATTCTCAAGTTTTAAATGTAGGAGGTAGACGGCATTTGGCATAAAAATGTCTTTAGTCCTCGGGTTCCGATCCCAAATATTCAGCTTTTATGTTCATCTCATCTGGGGAGTCATTGCGCATGTCCATCACAGCGCGGGAAGCGAACGTACTCTGAGAGGCCATACTCGCCAGTATTCCATTTGACAAAGCTTGTACTGAAAGTGCTTCCTGAGATGGTCCCGCGTAGCTGTACTGTTGGTACACAGCTTGTATTCTAGCAGCATTCACCAATGTCTGAATCTTCAGTTGTGTATCCAGAGCCAAGCTAAGAGGCAACTTTCTTAATTGACTCGCTATCAATTTACCAAACATTTCAAATTCATTTTCATTAACATCTGAATTTTGACTTAAATCTTCTGGTCCGTCTTCTGAACTACGCTTCTTCTGTTTTGTTAGTGGGTAGATCGTAGCTAGTGAGGTAGTGAGCGGTGTTGCTATACCCACTGGAGGATTTAGGAAGGTAGTTGTAGATGTAGGTAGGATACCAAATGGTGATGATTGGTTGAGATTGAATGGTGTATTCGGTCGGGGTGAGGGTGTATTCAACACGTAAGGCGTCGACGATCTTGTTGAACTGCGACGTTTTCGCGGGCTTTTCTTCTCCGGCGATTTTCGCTCGCTCAAATCTTGAACCACGTCGCTATCGTCGCTCGCCGGTATCTCCACTAATGTGTTATCCATCTAAGGAGAAAAGGGTAAATTAATTTCGGTTTAAACCAGTTTTATCCGGTCCGGTGAGTGTAAATAAAGACTTACGGAGATGGGAGTTACGATCGCCCGCAGGAACCTGTCGGCGTGCTCGAACCACGTGACACTGGGCCGGTACGCATGCGCGCCGGCCTTGCGCGCCGCGCGAATCTTCTTCAGCTCCACGCTGTACGACGAACGAATATTCTTTATTTTATTTTTCAACTCCTTCACAGTCACGTCGACCAAGTTGAGCGCTTTAATAATTTCCAGGTAACCCTGTTCGCGAATCTTTTTGTTTTTATAATGTTCCGCGACCGGGTTCCAGAGGTACTCTCGTTGTTCGTACTCAATTATCATTTGAATGGTGAGATCCTCGCTCCATTTAGGATTCGCCAGGATCGCGACCATTTTAACATTTAACGACGCATTTGACACTTTTCGCGTGTTTTGTTTCGGCTTGAAATTCGCGTGTTTACGATGTTTAGTACCAGGAGCGCAGAAGGGTGCGGGCGTGTCGCATGCGCGCAGCATACTAAAAGCACGTCGATGCGGGTCGGGGCGCGGGCGGCGCGGGGCGGGCGGGGCGCGGCTATTTCGGGAGCGGCAACACGCAGCCGCGGCCGCGTGCTGTGGCCGTGCTGTCCTCTCTCCGATCTCCGCGCTCTCTCCGGGCTCGAGTGAAACGGAAGATTTGCGACCGCGTCCACTCCGCTCCAATCGCTACCTGTGCGAACTTCGACATTGTCACAGACTATTTTCGTGTCGAGGGGGATCGTTATTGTACTGCGAGATCGCAGTTCGTTTTATCGACGTTTGCTCCGTACTGTAATATATGTCACATTATTTTCTTCTTATTTCTTATTATTTTCAATTTTAAACCACCCTTATCACTCGTTGTGTGTGTCGATTTTACGCGCAAAAATACTTGTACCATTACACACGTATTTGGCTGTAAGACAGAAAAGCCTTTGCCCACAAAAAAAGAATATAAAAAAATGTAAGTTGACAGTTGACATGACACGTTCACTTCCGCGTCACTTGCAAAAACTAATGTGTCCTCGTTTAACTAGGTGAACAATAAAAACTTGCTTTTTAAAGACATGCATTTTTGTTGGATTGATTTCCAATCATTACAACCAAGATTTTAACTGATGTTGTAAAAAGACACTAACAGATTATTTTCAGCCATTTCTTTACATAATTCGATGTGCAAAAGCATCGAGTTGGACGGGTCTGCATGTTCTTGATCCGTTCGATTTACAACCGACGACGCTAAGAACGGGGAGTCGAGGAACTAAAGGGAACTCGGAGGGAGAAGAGGGAGGAGGGTACTTGGCACGTCACCGCACTCCATGGCCGCCAAGTTTTACACCCGACCCGTAGCTTTGGCCACTAGAAGTGCTTCATAAAAGAAAATTATATGACTGCATCCGAGTTAAAATATAACCTCAAAACTAGAACGTCACTGGGACTTTACGTACTTCCTTAAAATTCAACACATTTTTAGGTGAAATTTTTGGGTCAAAAAGAAATAAAATATGTAGAAAACTACAAAACCTACTAATAGTATAAATGCGGATGTTAAGACTGATGGATGGATGGATGTTTGTTAGAAGGTATCTCCGGAACGGCTCTGCGAACCTCCATGATTTTTTTTTATTCCGCGCGGACGAAGTTGCGGGCGATAACTAGTAATATAAAATCCATGCTTCGTAGACGCTGTACACCGGGATATCTTCCCTAGCCGGGGGATGAAATCTTTAACAAGAAACGTGTTTAAGTGTTCACCTCGGGAGCTCAATTTTCAGGTTACAATTATAAAGTATACACGAACGATGCAAAATAAAATAACATAGCTTGGGTTTTTAGTAATTTAACAAAAAACATAGTAAACAAAGATATAATTTTTTTTATGAATTAGCTGTCGCCTTCGACTCCGTCCCCGCGACATTAAAAAATAACTAATGGTTACTTAACCTATGTGTTGTTTCAAGCTATGTTCTACATGTATGCAAAATTTCAGTGAGATCCATACAACCATTCTGAAGATACCTTCAAACATCCATCCATCCATCCATTTAAACATTTAAGAGATTTTTTTTTCAAACGAAAAGTATATTACGAAATAAAAAAAATGTACCAGGCAAACATAAATTATAAGACTGTTGAGTAGTGGTGCCGGTAATGGCTGCGGGCAGAGTCGAGCAAATTGCGTCGCGTCTTCAAAGCGAGCGCGACCAGTGCTACTTGATACTTATCTGTCACTTGGCCTCGCACTATCACAAATACTAATTTACATTTACTGTCACTACTACCTTATTGGCAAGTGTTAAAGTTTATAATCGCATGACAAGAGCTTTATTAAGTTTGAAAATGTATACAAATAAATATAGCTAGAGATTGTACATTGATGAAACGAAGATCTTGATATATACACGAGGTATGTTGATAGAGAAGTAAACAGGATATAATATTTATTGATATGAAGAGATATTTAGCTCTAACTATGAGTTTCTGACACCAAAATATCTATATAAAACATTTCGTCATCCCTGTCATTATCTTTGAGTACACAGAGATAACAATATGTTTTAAACGGAGATTGTAGACTCAGAAACTCACAGTTAGTACTTAAAATAAAATGTCTTAAATAATTTAACGACGCCAGTAATTTTCGTCCTAAATCCAAGTAGTATTTTTTCTAAAGTTCTAAACGAAATAAAAATAAAATATTAGTTGGTGACATATTACCAGGGGCGCAGCAATCACCGGAATGCACATGCCATAATTAGACGACGTGTACAGACGTATAAGGCCAGGTGTGTACAACCAATTTTTTGCGCATGAAGAGCCGTAGCATCGCAACAAAGGATATCAAAATCTACTCATACGTAAACTGTGGCAAAGTAAAACTTGTATAAATTGGATGCAGGACACATCATCTTTCTGCCCGCATTCCTAACGAAGATGGGCACAGTATGCACTCCTATTCTATACTTCTTTATATGTCACTAGCTGTCATCCGCAACTCTGTCCGCGAGAGATTAAAAAATAGATGTTGGCCGATTCTCAGACCTACTCAATATGCTCACAAAATTTCAAAAGAATCGGTCAAGTCGTTTCGGAGGAGTATCGTAAATTGTGACACGAGAATTTTATATAAAAGACAATATCTTAGTTAACTCCCTTCAACACATTTCCTGTTACACTCAATCTATCCTTGCTTTCAAATACACTTGGTAACCATTAGCTTGAGTTTACATAGCTCTTATACCATAGAGAAGATTTGAAATATTTTTGTTGCACATCAAAATGTGGTTGTTCGTCGTTTGGCCTAATGAGGCGAGGTATAAATGCGCGACAGTGGCGCGGCAGTGCGGAGTGGCGAGGCGAGAGGCGGCGTGGGAGGCGCGCGGCCTGCGCCCTCGGGCCGGGCCCCGCCGGCGGCCCTTTGACGCGCCGCGCCCCGCCGCGCGATGTGTTTGATCGTTCATACTGTGCTTGCTATAATTTGATACTTGATTTTGGAAACTATTTTTATATTCTATCGTTTTATGATAAGACGTATAGTAAAATTATCACCTGCTCATACAAAATGCTCTTGAATATAAATAATTTATAACTTTAAATATTATTTTAAATCTTTTCATTAGCAGTAATTATTTTAAATCTCCATATCAATATTCGCTTAAAATTTCGCAATATAACTTTAAATGCAACGATATTTAAGAATAATAAATATTAAAATAAATTTACTAATATCAAGATGTCTCAGTCGCGTTGTAGCCCGTCAGCACTTCGCCGGCACACGGTGCGGCCCGGGGCGCTTGTACTACAGCTAGGGCTGACACACTTGTTTGAATAACTATTATTATTATTGACATTAAAAAAACTATATACACTTTTAGTACATTTCAGATCCTTATCAATGCGCACCAACTTCCGTTATTTAGAAATTTCCAAAAAAATATTTGCATCAAATAATAACATAATCGAGGGTCATATGTCATTGCATGTTCATCTACTTTGCTTAGTAAACGAAAATAATACATCAAAAATATTCTTATAAACACTATTTAAATTATTTCAATTTGATCATATTAGCTTTAAATACTCGTAAAAAAAATAATTTAACAAGAATTATTAATTATTAATTATGTATTAGTGGCAACCCTATTGACTTTATCTACCTACGACCGCAGCGTACACACGGCGTGTGCCGGCTGCCGGCAGCGTTGAGCCGCGCACTGCCTGCCTACAATACATACTATATACTATCCATATCCAACTCTATACATCTCCTTGTAAGCACAGCGAGTGTATGAAAAATATTATTAACTTATTTTAAAGTAAGGATAGTTAAGGTAGAACTAACAGAATCCCGGATATAACATATTTATAAGTTTAAATAGAAATAGAAAACTTGCATAACTCCGATAGGTAAAGAGAAACCGAAAATAGGCCTACTGCAACTAGCCCGTAGACCCGTTTATATCGTCATGTATAGATATTTAGATCTAGTTTAGGCTAGACTAGACTAGACTTCTCTCTCCATACAATAAACGGATTAATAAATCTCCTCTACATAATTTTTTACTTGCTCATCTAATTCTGCTGAATTTTCTAGGCCTAGTAGAAATTTAAGAAAAAAATCCGTAGACGCTCGAAGCGGAGCTACCAGGCGCGCATAACATCATAGGCATGCGCCATTAGCCGCGAGCGAGCGCCGGAACGGGCCCCATTTCCGCGGGGAAGCGGCGCCGGATGCCGCGCCGCGTCCGCCTACCCGCAGCTCCCGGACCTGCTCTCGCCTTATGTAACCTTAGTACTTGGCTAGTCAGATACATGCGGTGCTGGTAACTTTTGCTTAAATTTAAAGTTAACTTTAACCGTTACGTTTCTGAACCTTCCCGTTGAAAACATTATTGTTATCTCTGTTTTGTCAAAGATAAAGACAGGGATGACGATATGTTTCATAGAAAGAGGCTCAGAAACCGATGACGAATTTTCCTAATTAAACGAAAAATACATATTAATATAATGTAAGTGGCCGAAAATCGTAGCTAACTCCGTAAACGTTGACCCTTCTTTAATCTCATTTAAAATATACGGCCGATATAAATTTTAACAAGGAGGGAGGCAATAATTCATACGTAATATGCCAGTTGTCCCGCACTTAAATCTGGGTACCACGGATTCCGCAGACTCTTGCCCTATTATTATTACGACAATATTAAAATTATTACTATGTATACAAAAACTAACTTCCCTACTCAGAGTTATTAAGGGATTAATTGTAGAGTTACAATTCAACATTACGACTTAAATTACTTAACCAAAGAACTAAAAAGTTTTTACTTACAAATGGAAATCAAAGTAAACGTTACCTGAAAAAGAAAATAGAAAAAATTAGATGGAAATACTTTACATCGAAAAGAAATAAATCTATCACAGTAAGCTTTCAATTATTTGATAAAATTGTAGACCAACTAAATTTATCCTTTTTAAGGTTCCGTA